CAGCATCCCTGACTCTCAGCTCCTCCTCTAGGATGTGGTGCAGCAGCCCTGACTCTGGGCACTCCTCCTCTTGAAGAACAGGTAGGAAGAAAAGAAGTTCTAGGTCACTCTACACTACACAGGGATTTCCAGGTCAGTCTAGGATACATTAGCCCCCATTTCAAAACAAGAAAAATAGAGACACGTGCCCATGGGAAAGCATGTCCATTCTATACTATGACCCTGGAAAGGGGCTTTGCCAGAACACAGAGTACCAGCAGAACTTCAAGAACCTTCACCCAATGATCTTACCCTCCAAAGCACTAACATGCCCAAGTTTCACCTCACAGTCCAGACTACAGTTCATCATATTCTCCTAATGTCACCCTGAGGTCAGACCCCTTGTTTTTAGCATGTGCTTCACAGTCCCTGACTCAAAGACCACAACCCTGTCTACTGCTGAGCAGCACAAATGAATATACCCACCCCTGATGCCTCACAATCATTGACTCTGAGCAGTGCTGGACAATCTGTGAACTTGCCCCCACCTGTACTTTGTTCCCATTTCCAAAACAGGTTCCCACGTTACCTAGGGCATTTAACAGGGTTAAATCCACTTAAACATCTAAGAAGAGGTCATTATTATGTCAAGACCTAGTGAAACAGGTCCATAACTTTAACTACTTAGGAGGCTGAAGAAGAAAGATTGTACTGTACATTCACAGCATGTGTTGACTACAGAGTAAATTCAAGGCCAGTCTGGAAAACTTAGGAAAACCTTGTTTCAAAAATTAAAAATTAAATAAATAAATGAAATGAAATGTATGTATGGGTTGGGATACACCTCAGTGATAGAGCATTTCCTTGACAGGTTCAAAACTCACTAATGAGAAAAGCAGAATGCTGATATGCATGGTGTGTCTTTGCTGTAAGCATTCTGATGGTCTCTGTCCTTGAAAGGAGCTGGCTGGAACTGGGAGAAACAGCCTGCCTAGTGCAGGGCGGCCCCCTCTATCCACTGAACATCATATGAACCACTGTCTGGACACTTGGCAGCTGCTTTAAAGAAACTGTGCTCCAACTGCAGGGAGCACTTCATCTCAGCAAGGCCATAGCTCCTACTCCAGACTTGCCCCACTCACAATCATTCCAGACAAACTGCATCAGCTTGGGAAGACCACTCAAGGAGAAACGAGCCTTGAAGATTCTACATGATTCAAGCAGGTCAGAGTGAGGAAGACTCCCCAGTAACATAGCAGAATGTGATTGGTTTAATTCATGGCCTATGATTGGTCTTCAAGTGAGACTTTGTGATTGGTGGACCTGAAAGCTGTGCTGTGATTGGTGCAAATTACAATCATACATTTGCATGCCACAACCCCTCCTGACTATATAATCTGGCTTTTCAGATTACTTGTCAGGTCACCCAAAAGATATTCTACTATGCTGCCCCTCCGCACTGGAACATTAGGCCAGATATTCTCCTGAATGGTCTTTTTTGCTTACTTGTGATCTTTACCATGGATAGAGTGGGCAGAGCTAGTAACACAGGCAGCTGAAGTGAAAGAGGCAAATGCTCTAGGAAGGACTGAGGCATCAGAAGTAAAGACGCCGTGACACTTTTAAATAAAGAAGCTTCTAGAGCTGGCCCTATAAATCAGGCTGGTGATTAACAACAAACACACGTTAAACCATTACCTCTTCCTTCTCATGGAGCATAATATGTGCTTTGAGACTGGCCACTCTGGAGAACCTCTTGTTGCACACAGGACAGACAGGATCCTCTGCATTGTGTGTACACTTATGAAGTGTCAAGTTGAATTCAACATTAAATGTTTGGGGGCACTGGTCACAACGGTGTGGCTATTTGACAGAAAAGAAGGAATTGAGTTACAATCTTTCCAATGATGTTATTAAAATAATAAGTACCGGATGTGGTGACACACACCTTTAATCCCAGCACTCAGGAGTCAGAGGCAGACAGATCTCTATAAATTTGAGGCCAGCCTGCTCTATAGATTGAGTTATAGAACAGTCAGGGCTCCCAAGGCTTCTGGTAGAATTTTCAAAGGACTGCAAACAGAACATCACATGTAAAACTACTGACTTTCATCAGAAACAAGATTGAAAAAAAAGAAAAAGAAAAAGAAAAACTACTGACTTTCTTTTCTTGATTATATTATCTGGCCTCAAATTCCCAATCCTCCTGTCTCCACCTCCCTAGTGTTAAGATGAGCATGTGCCTTATTACCTAACTCAAAAACTAATTCTACTGTGCGACACTGCAAACAAATCCATTGGGTTGTATCCTTGTGAGGAAATTCAGCCCAGTAGATTGGGTTTTCCTCCTACTTCCGACAACTCACTCATTGTAAACAAAACTACTTCTAGAAAAACAGATAACCATGGACATTTTCCTCTAGATTTCAACAGTAGCTTCTCTCAGTCCAAAGTTCACCTCTACATGGAAAACATTCTCTCTTTTACCTGTAAAAAGAAATGCAAAGCAATGGCTGGTATCTCTCTGCAGCCTTTCAGACTGGGCCTTGGGAAAGCACAGCCATGTCTTCCACCAGCACCATGAGACAGCACGTCACAGTGAAATCTGAGCCTCCCTCCCCCTCTCCAGGAGCCCAGCTCCCACTCTCAGCAAAGGACAGTCAGCCCGCCCTTTTAACTGCACTTTCAGCCACTTTCCACCTATTTTCACTATGTCATATCTGGAAGGATTAGCATAAAAGGGTTCAACTCTCTCTTTAAAAGGACACACAGGGTATGAAGGGCTAGAAGGAGCCAGCTCAATAGTAGAACATATGTTAAACATACACAAGGTCCTGTGTATAATCCTTACCTCCAGTCATCTCCAAAAGACTCCTGCTAAACAGAATTTAAAGCCTCAAGAATGCCATAAAGACAACTTGAAAGCAAAATACCCTCTAAGAAAAAAAGCATTTCAAAATAACAACCCTGAGTCCAGTTGTATAGGAAACCAAGATATCAAAAAGTCTTATTTCTCTGTCTGCTCATAAATAATTTCAATACAGACATTCACTAGAGCACATTGTCAAAAGAACGGCAAAATGCTTACATACTATGAAATGAGCTCCAATTTTGTCTTACATGTTGACTCTATAGCACCTCCAATTTCAGAGCCCTTGTTCTGGAGTCCTTTTGGAAATACCCACCTTGTCATTTTGCTCATGTTCCCTCATGTGACGCTGAAACTGAGACTCTTTTGGAAAAGACAGCAAACAGATCTCACATTTGTGGAAGCTTGGTATCTGACAGTCATCGTCAAGGTCATCATCATTTAACGCCAAAACTCCATCTATAAAATTTCATAAATACAGACAATGAGCACCAGGTGTTAGACCACTACATAAACAAAACTAAATCATTTGGCTACTTTAATTTTTCATATTGCTATTTTACATTCATGGATGTTTTGCCTGCATGCATGTCTTGCACACCTTGTGCACGCTGTGCCCTCAGAGGCCAGAAGAGGGCATTAGATCCCCTAGAACTTGAGTTATAAATGGTTGTGAACTGACATGTGGGTGCTGGGAATTGAACCCAGGTCCTCTGGAAGAACAGTGAGTGCTCTCTGACTCCTCATTTGGCTATTATTAAAAAACAGAAATTTATAAGAGACTTGAATTTGAAAAATGGACACATTTGAGTTTAGAAATGAGAAATTGTGGGATGCCTAAGATATGGGACAAAAAAATTCAAAATACTTCGCAGGATTTCTAGAAACCTGAAACTAATTTCCTAAGGCAACACACACACACACACACACACACACACACACAAACACACACACACGAAGGTTATTTGAACTTTGCCAGCATGTGACATCTAATTCACAATAAATACAGACAAAACACCAATGCAAATAAAAATAAATAAATAATTTTTTAAAAAAAGAATATATCAGCTTCTTATATCACTCAGTAGGCTCAACTCTATAAAAATATAAAAGCCTCCAACTGTGAACTCTTTATCTCTGAAAATTGCTGCAAAGAAAGAGTAAGTCAAAAAGAAAAACTCTTGTTCTCTCAGATAGTGAGAAACTGCAATCTTTTGTTTGGTCAATTATAGTGGCAGAAAAGGATTTCCCACACAGGGATAATATTTCAAACTTAAAAGTACTTTTAGAAGTATCAAAAAACATAACAATATTGTACAGGTACTCATAAATTTGCCAAAAATGTCAAATAAAGGCTTTCTATATAATTACAATTTTTAAAGTATATACATCTGAAGTTTTGAGATTAGGATATAAAATAGATAATACTCCAGAACTATACAAGAATGACAAATAAATTACAGGCCATTCTATATCAAACCTGGGAACCGGGAAAGGAGTTCAGTTGGTAGAGTGCTTAGTTGCCATGCATGGGGCCCTGGGTTCAATCCCAAGAACCACAGGGTACACATTGGTAAACCCAGCTCACGGGGATTCAGAGCAGAGAGTATTTCAAGGTCATGTTAGACAAGATGTGCCCACTGGTGCAATAGTGGCCTGGAGGCTAAAGGGGTAACCAAGTACTTTCTGGCTGGATTTGAAGACTGCTCCATAAAAGGTGATTTAGGCCTGGTCTGAAACCTGGCTCCAGAGATCACAGGCCCAAGTGGGAAAGCTAGGTCTCAAGTTTTGCTAACTAAATATGTCCACTGCTTTCTAAATATTTATACTTATATGCATAGTCTAATAAATACTGTTTGTAGGAAATCAGTTTTTATATGTCAAAGAAAACTATCAATAAAATTCTCATGTTCTTACTACTAGTTACAGAATGGAGAGAACATCTGCCAATCCATAAGAAATCATATAACTCAACTCTCAAAAGGCAAACCAACAAAGTCTAAAATGAGAAGTTGATAAACATTTTCCTAAAGGCATAATGTCAACAAATACAGAGAAAGATGGCACTTTGGGTTAGACATGAAGTGTCTTCCAAAAAGGCTTGTGTTCTGAAGGGCTTGACCCCTAGTTGGTTGGTTGTGGGAAATCCTGGGAAGTTGTTGTCCAAGGCCCCTCTGTTCCTTTCCCTATTTCCCATCTGCCATGGAATGAGTAGGCTCTGCTTAAGATACTGCAATACAATGTTCAGCCTTACTAAGGCAGTCCAGAACCTCTGAACCCATGGGCCAAAATGGGTTCTTCTTTCTTAAGGCTGTTCTGTTGGGATTGAAGAGTCTACACAGATGCTCAATACCACTAATCATTAATGAAATGTAAACCAAAACAAGAATGAGATACTACTCATTAGACTAACCAAACACATTATAAGGGAAAAATAACACTTTTCTGAGTTATTGAGCATGATGATAACAGACATGGGCTGTTTGGCCAATATGGAATAGAGAATATGAAACAGCTTTCAGTAAATCCAAGTGATTAAAGTAATCTAACATAGGTCTTCTGACAACTGGGTTACAAGTCAGTAATAGAAAAAGGGCAATTTTAAAAGCTCCAAATATTTGGAAAGTAAACTACACTGGAATTTACTAGAAAAAGATCTTGAACTTACTGAAACAAACAAATACATAAAGATAAGTTGGGAGATGCAATGGAAATTGAGCACACAGCCGTAATAGGATTTTGTGTGAATTATATAAATGCTGGCTAATCCATCTACATGTGGTCAGATGTCTCCATCTTTTCTTCTTCTCCTACCTCTCCCTCCCTCCTTTCTTCTCTCAAGATAGGATCTCACTATGTAGCCCTGGCTGGTCTAGAACTTGCAGTGTAGATCAGGCAATCCTAGAGACCACATAGATTCCCTGTCCCTGCCTCCCTAGTGTGGAGAATAAAGGTTGTGTACCACCACACCCAGCAAGGCGGATCTATATACCCTTATCTTACTTCAATAATGTTTTTGGGGGGGCTGGAGAGATGGCTCAGCGGTTAAGAATACTGGCTGCTCTTCCAGGGGTCCTGAGTTCAATGCCCAGCACCCACATGGTGGCTCACAACCATCTGTAGTAAGACGTCTTCTTCTGGCCTGCACATGCAGATGCAGACAGAACACTATAAACACAATACATCTTAAAAAAAAAAAAAAAAAAACAGAGTGTTTTTGGTTGATCAACACTCGTGTGTGTGTGTGTGTGTGTGTGTGTGTGTTTTGAAATAAGGTTTCGGGTAGATAGACTGAGCTTGAACTCACCCTGTAGCTATGAATGGCCTTGAACCCCGATCCTACTCTCTCTAAGTGCAGGGATTACAGACTGCAGGAGCATACCCTGCTGCCAGTCACTTCTTCAGACTTCAATTTCCTATGACTTTCTCTAGGAAACTCAGACTGCTATCTGCTGTCACGGTTTGTTGTACTGTCCGAAGAGTGACAACAAGAGCAAGTCTCTATTTAGCTTTAGATATGCAGCACCTAGCATGCTTACCTCTCATAACAGGTGCTCACAACAAACCTATTCACCAACAGGAAGAGTATTGCTTTTATCAAGCAGAACAAGAAAATGTACATTCTAGACTGCAATCCAGATAGAAATCTTTAAGCTCCCAAGGCTACTGGGATTCACCTTCCAAACCACTTAATCTCTAGAACTTCAGTTCCCTTCCCCTCAACTGCAAAGGAAAAAAAGAAAGAGAGAGGGGGGGAGGGAAGGAGGGAGGGAGGGAGGGAGGGAAAGAAAGAAAGAAAGAAAGAGAGAGAGAGAAATAAAGAAAGAGGGAAAGAAAGAAAAAAAAGAAAACCCTTTATAGTTCATAATTTGCTGGGCATGACAGTGCATGCCAAGACAGGAAAACATGGAGTTCTAGATCAGGCAAGGTTACACAAGATGACACACCTTTAACCCCAGCATTCAAGAGGCAGAGGTAGCGTGATCGCTGTTGAGGCCAGCCTGGTCTACAGAGCAAGTTCCAGGCCAGTAAGGGCAACATAGAGAAATCCTCTCTCAAAAAACCAAAAAATAAAGAATAACAGTAATCCTAATGTAGTGACCAAAACTGGGTAAAAATCACCACAGATTATAAATTGGCAGTGACTAATAGAGCAATGTGTCTCAAACATCTTATATACATCTTAATGAGGACCCCCAAAACCTGCAATTTATACAGATTTTATTAACATCTATCCTTGAATGTGTTGGCCCATATCTAATCCCAACACTTGGGAGGTGAACACAGGAGGATTACAATGAATTTGAGCCCATGTGAACTATGCATAAGATGTCAGCCTGGCCTAGTGTGAGCCTCTCTCTCAAAACTTAAAATAAAATAAAATAAAATAATCAGGAGGCTGGAGAGGGCTCGGTAGTTAAGAGTTCTTATTGCTCTTGTACCTCCAAGTACCAGGCATGCATGTTGTGCATGTACATACATGCAGGCAAAACACTCACAACACTCACAAGCATCAAATAAAATAAATCTAATTTCTTTTAAATCAGTTTGCTGCCTTAACATAACAAATTTTTATAAAAAATATTTTAACAAAATTACTTACAAATCTTTTTTTATTATTTTTTTTAGACAGAGTCTAACTATGTTTCCCT